TGATAAATCAGTTGATTTAATAGCGAAACCAAAAGTTCAACTTTTTGCTGATTGAGCTGACCGAGCAATACATGCTCACACAGACTCTTTTTTTTTTTATTTTCTCACTTCAAATTTCTTCAAACATCAGTTCACAGAAGCAGTAATTTATCACAGAAGCAATAATTTATGTTGCGGTAGAAATTTCAGGACTCTCATAAATGTAAATAAGTATTTTATTTTTCGCCAAAAATTCTTTCATCCTTTTCTAGCATATAAAATTTTAAACATGGATGGAGATAGATTTGTAATGATAAAATTGATGAGATTAAACGATATTCAAAATAGGCCAAGAAAATTTCAAGAGTTGAATAAAAATGGAATAGAAATGTGAAGTTTTTTATATTCGCCACTCAAAAAGTGAATTGAATATAGGATATTTCGATGAAATTTATTTCCTCATTAGTTAGTAATACATTTTGCAATGTGAATATGAATTGTTCCATCCTTTCTCTCTAGCACCAACAAACAATGAAGCATTAAGCTGTTCTGATTCATCCAGAAATTTCTATACTGCTTCCTGAAATCTCGCCCGACTACTGATACTCTCACTAATCCATTCCATTTCTCCCACGTCATTTTATTGATGGATAAAAACTGTTGAAATTCTTGGTATCATCATTGTGGAACTGGGAAAACAGTAAGCTGAATTAGAACATAATTACCATTAATGCAATAGGGAGTAAACTTTTGTTGATCATTTAAATCGGTTATTTAATAAGACGTTAATTTGATATCATATTTTATGTTTAGTACTATAACAAGTGTGTATTATAAGTTAATAAAAGTGCATATGAACAGGAAGGCAATTCTTTCATTCATATTACGATAAGTAATTGAATACATTGATTTGATATTTGTTTTTCATGATTTTTGTGCTAAGTAGCACGAGAAGATAATTGATAATTGAACTATTCTTCACAAAGATCGATTAGACTGCTTAGAATCGAAAAATGACAATAAAGGTCAAAACGACAAATGTCAGAACTTCTTCAGTAGGTAAACAATTTGATCGATAATGAGGCATGACATTATTAAAATAGTGTTAATCTGTTAAAAAAATGAATGGATGGTCTAATTCTCATGTAATTAGGAAAAAAAAATTCTCATTCTTATAAGGGCTCATTGATAAGCAGATAATATCATTATGCATCAAATTGCAACAAAAAAAAAGCAGATAATTCAAAATTTGATATCTAACTTGCAGCTATGGTAAATACGCTATTTACTGCTTTTACTAAATGGAATATCAATATTTCAATTAAGATATAGTGATGTTATTGAGAGTGCTTAGGAGTTATTCTACAGACAGACATGAACGAAGAAGAAATTAACCGATTATAACTGTTATTATCTTTATCACGTAAATGTATATGTTATCATCTTTATTACATAAAACTTTTCTCGCAATTTAAAACCTATTCTCATTCTTTACAGAAATCAACAGCTTTAAAACAATCATAGAATTTTCAGTAAACCAAACTTGACTGCAATTTCAAGTATTAAAATCACTGACTTAAAAGGTTAACGAAAATTTTGCATTTTCTTGAGAGAAGTTGATGAACATATAGCCTGCATATCATAGTGTCTAAAGTATTCATCTTTTTTTATTACTTATGCCTTAAGATCGCTGTACTGATAATTTTCTTTGCATCATATACCACAAAGTTTATCATAATCATTCTCGTAGCGAATATAAATAGTTCGGAAGAAAGCAACATGACGAAAGCAAAACGATTTTCCATTTTCCATATCATACGTAAAAGATACGAATTTGCGATGTGCTCACTAGCAAATTATCATCGTAAAAGCTCGTTTCGATTACCACATTGCCACTGCAACCGTTCAACTATCAGATTTGAAAAACTGATGATAGAATTTCAATCAAATCTCATTTAGTCTTAATCAAGTTAACAATGTATTCGAAAAGCAAAACATAAAAGAATGTTTGCACGAAATGCTACTGCACAAACACAAAAACGTACGGCAGCTATCATAAAAAGCTATTGCCGTTAAACAATTTGATCAACCGATAATTTAATTTTCAACATCTTAACAGTGTATAAGTTGAATAAATAAAATCATTCCTTACCGGATTTCTAAACTTATAGATCTTGAAAAAATAGATGCAGAAATATAATGAATAATGTGCACTTACCTTAATAATGATGCAGGTAACATTTGTGCTTCGGGTGCAGCTTCGATCAAATTCTGCCACGTATTAGTTGATTGCGGTATCACAAATCCAAAATCAAAAAACCACTCTATAATTTTTTTTCAAGATTAAATGGAACAGCGAAAAATACTAAGAAGAAAAGATGGCTTATTCAATTCTGGCTAAAATTAAGCCAACAAAGTTTATGAGTAAAATTGTAAATGATACTAAATCTGGAAGATAGTTTTTGTTTTCTCTTTATCCATACAACAAAAGCAACCAGTAACATGAGAATTTAGAGTTTTTATGCATAATTCTTCTAATAAGATCAATACAAATACCTTCAATAATGTCGCCCTTCAAGTAAACACGTTGTTCTAATCGAAATTTATTTATTTTCTCAGCTGAAGTAAAATTTATTTCACGTGATATTGCCCGACATTTCAAGATACTTTTTGGTACACGAGCTGAAATATATCCTTATCGAAGTACACAGAAAACACTAAAACATTTGAATCAAATTATTTCATATTTAAACATGAGCACGTTAAGACAATGTAAATGTAATAGTTTATATGCCTATGTTGATAAAGTTCATTTTATCTTCGTCCAATATACTGAAAACTAAATGAACTATTACAAATTACAAAGAATAATAAAGAAACTCAAATAATGAGGTACAAATACCACACATCACATGATGAAATCTTAATGGGCAGCTTTCAAAATCATTAATGATTATCAATATTTTAATGATTGTTCTTCTACAATCCGTCTATGTAATCTAGCATTTAGCTTAAAAAGATGAATGATATCATTATAAATCAATTATCTGTTTGAAAACATTTTATATAAAAGACGATCAGCTATATAATCAGCTAACCCTGATGCTCTTTTCCTGGTGATGCAAGATCCTCATAACTTTGCCATAACACTTTTCCACTTTCCGCATCACGTAAACTCATCCAGTTCCTATAAAATTCATATGTCAAATATCATCCTGTCATCAGTAAGATATAAAAAAGTTAAGATATAAAAAAAAATAATAGAAGTAAATATAATATAAAACTATAATAGAAGTAAATATAAGTTTTTCTATTCTGAATTCAACTAAACCAGTACCATAAATCTTCAAGTTAACTATACGTATAAATTGTTAATCATATGTTTCCACAAAAGAAAAATTAGGTAGTTTGTTAGAATCGAAATATTACAATTAAAACATTACGACAATACGTACAGTTTGAATCCTTCCAAAATTTGCTGAGCTCGAGACATAATAATATATATGACAGCAGCATGAAAAATATTCAACACATTGCTTCAATTGAAACAATCATCCTAAATATAAAATAATCTCTTCCTTTAAAATTATAAAAAAAATTTTGCTAACTGAACATTTTAAAATAAATGAAATTTTCAAAGAAAAAAGTTTCTTACTAATTAAGCTAACAGATCAATAAGATATACATATATGGTATAGAAAAATTGAAAACTTATTTGATCTTGTTGAAGTTGATTTGTTTATTACAATTAAGAATGAATGGTTTAAAACTGCATAGGTGTTTCAAAACCTTCCAGAATGAATGGCTTAACACTTCATAACTATTTCATAACCTTCGAGAATGGATGGGTGAATGCGCAGATAAATTTGCTAAGGTAAGATATAAATTAAATAGTAGAACATCTCAAACACATGCTTATTTTACATCGAATTCAACGGAGCGAAACTAATAAAAGTAATGTGAGATTTCTGAATTTTTGAAATAGTCCAAATCGAGTGAATTTATGCAATTAAGGCCAACAATAATGGACTAGCTAGAAAATAGATGAGTGAATACCAGTCATTTCTGTGGCTTAAATCATTGTGTGATGTAGAAGATGCAATAGTATAGTTATTATTAGCAAACAAATGCATTTGAAATCATTAACCTTAGCTAGTGTAAAGTGAACAGAGAGAAGAAAAGATGAAGAAATTGAGAATACTTTTAACCAAATGATTAGCCTAAAAGAGTTTGGTCGCTAGGCGACAGAAATTGAATAACGCTTAATACAAATCAACGATGTTGCACTAAAAATCGTATGATAATCAAAAAAGATAAATGAAGGAAAAATAATAATACGACGCTTTATGGTAGAGTAAAATAATTTGAAACGAAAGCAAAAACTTAATTTATTAAATTTAAATCATATCACTAGGAATAAGTTACATATTTAAAGAAATAAAAAAAAAGCATGTTAAGAAATTTAAGAATGCATGACTGAAACTTTCAGTGAGTTTAAAAAAACTCAGGTGAACATTGATTGATTCACTCGAAATATTTAACTTTGATCTTTTCAGACAAATGATACATTGAAAAATGATGCGAAAGAAAATGAATGAATTTTCGAAAGATTATAAATTAAAACCAAAAATCGTATTACATTAAATTACTATTTATGTAATGTTATATATATAAAATGCGAATTTTATTATTATTTACCACGTCTTTCATACCGCCGACAGTTAAATTTTGAAACTTGAAATTTCACAGTGTGTTAAATCAAGGACTGCATTATTTGGAAAGTGTTGGACAGTTTGTTGAGTAGCGCTGAATCCGGTAAGGAAGTTTGTTGATTCCGGATAATCTTTTAAAATTCGTTTCATTTCTCTATCTAATTGAAAAAGGAATGTGATGAAAATTAACGAAATAAAACAATGATTAGAAATGAGATAAATATGGTGTGAAAGTTTGGGCATGACTTTTTGATTTATTTTTTGTACACACATATATGTGAATGTTGCAGTAGAATTTTTTATTGCCTTATGGGATCAGCTCAGAGCTATGATGAAAACAATCCTTCTGATGATATTCCAAAGGTATTTTTCTTTTTTATCTTGAAGAGAATTATTTTCCAATTCTTGGATAGTCTTCAATTCGTTGTGTATACTCCTGTTATTGATTTCATAAAATAGGAGCATTTTATCAAATACATGATTTAAGAATTTTTTTTCAAAAATTCATCATAATTCATATTTTGCAGATACAAAACTGATTTTGTCAAATAATCTGTAGTAATTAACGACAGGAGCATCACTATTTCTTATTTCATCTTAATCAGTTTAAGGTGGTAAAAATCGAACGAAGTCAAATACCGGAAGAATACAGAACAGTTGCGGTATCCCGTGATGTCGTCGACCAGATTCTAAATTTGGGAAATACGGAAAATGAAAGTATCAACGATTTAAGGTAATGTTTATTTTCAAATTTTGCTTGATAAGTTTGTTGTAGAGTTTCGGCATATTTTTTCTTGAATATGTACTTAGCCGATAGTTTCAATACTTTAGGAGGCAGTTAGCAGAGGAACGAGAAGTGAATCTTAAACTGCGTGAACAAGTAAAAAATCTTTCAGAATCGAAGGTTTCCTTGCAAAAAACTACGGCTGGTTAGTTTCGTATTTATTTATTTTTCTGTTTTTCATTGTCCGTCATTTAACTGTGTTCTGTTGTGATGAAACTTCGTTATATAAAATTAAGTTCAAAGTGGAAGGCATCTAGCATCGAATACGATTAACGGTGTTTGAAATTTAATTTTAAACTAAACACTAAAAAGCCATTGGTAGCTAAAATGAAACTTTGCAGAATTTATATCGTGTTTGAGGTCTTGAAATCCATTAATTATTTAGGAAAAATTTCAATAGCTGAATTGCAAGCACGAAAGGATGCATTTGATGAGACACTGGAGCGAATCGAAAAACAGTACTTCTCGTATCACCCAGAAAATGTTTGCAAAGGAATTGAGACTGTAAGTTTTTATTTAGTATTAAATATTAGTGCCTAGCTGGATATATTCATTTCTTTTCCTTGATATCGTTTAGATGCCTTTTTCTCATGCATGTTTTGATTACCGATCAAGTGAAAAATTCGTTTAGAATCTCTTAAAAGTTGTAGTGGATTGATTTTCAGTTATTGGTTATTATTAGATGACAGAAGACAGGGATTGAGATTATTCATAACTCTTCAGGATTTAATGGAATGTATTGCGAAAAATAAAAATAAATTACTAAATTGCACATCTTTTGCGGCGGATTTGACGAAATGTGCCAGTGACTTCCGAGAAAAAGTTTTGAAAGAAGTATCACATTTATAATATGCATAAAATGATTGTTAATTTGTTTCGAAAATAGTATGTTCAAGCACTTGAATTATTTTTCGTTTATTTTTGTTACTCAGCTGTGCATTTTTGTTTATTGTAGTCAAGATATTAGCCAAATTACCCCAGTGTATTTTAATTTATGTTACATTTCCTTGAAACATTTTGTGTACAGTGCGAAAGAATAAAATATTCAGTATATGGAGCAATCCCGTAAATGGAACTATTTTAAATCATGTGGCGCTAAATATTGTTTAGTTTATAAATCCGAGATAGGAGAACTTATAAATGATGGCATTTTTTCGCGAAATTTTGTAATAGTGCAATTTCTTTTTTTCTGCAAAATTTTCTTATATATTATGGATGAGTCTTATATTTTATTTGTCATGTCTCAGTACCAAATGTTAGGGTGATCAAAATTATTTTAGCACGAAATATTGGTATTTTATGATTGTGCCAGTAGCAATTTTAAGTTTTTAAAATTTTTAGTAAGATGTTAGTTTTGTCAATTTCTAATTTTTTATTGATTTAGAAGATTAACACTTCCTACTGTTGGTTTAATCATGATATTTGTTACAATCGTATGACTTAATTTATTTAGTGTTTTTTAGAATTTTATGTGTAGCTGGCAGTTTCTATTTCGTGTTCTTATTTTTCTTCTTTGATTTTAGTTTTTCATTTTTTTTCTTTTTTCACTCTTCCTCTTAATAAATTGCTCATTATTCAGAGACTTACTTCACATTTTATTGAGTCGACAGGTCGTCAAGTATTATTTCGAATTTTTTTCAGATTAGAGTGAAAAATGCTATGAAATGGTTTATTATAGTCCCAATTAATCAAATCAATCTGTAAGCTCTCCATTGCTTCGTGTGCAATTTGATTTGATTATCACAATAGATTGATTTGATTGTCACAACTTTTTAGGTTTGGTAATGATTTGGCGAAGAAAGTATGCATTCGCGCTTCCTTATTTTGAATCTTTATGAGGAATGCGATGCAGTTGCAGCAGAATTGTTGTGCCATTGACTGCATTGTTTCTCGGATTTATTCTCTGGAACTTTCATGAAGAGAGACGATACCAGCAGATTTTGGAGTATCATATCTCTTCGGATGATGTAGAAAAGTTGGAGAGTGGAAAAAATTGTACAACAGATACATGTCTCTCTTTGTTGTCATGTTCACTTCATGACAATCAGTTAACCGTTTTTATTGAACCGTTCATACGAGTCATCGATACGGTGAATTTTTTTTTTGTTTGATGAATGTTAAGAGAGAGAAAGAAGACATAAAGATAAACCATCATTGAATAATAATACATTGTTACACTGACGAAAAAGAGCATGATTGATCATCATATAGACAGTTTGTGCAATAAAACTAATATAAACTATTTCAAGTCAATAGTTGCCTGAAATTTGAAATGTTTCAGAGTGGTAAGGATATTACGCCGTCACCTTCAAGCGAATATCTCGAGATACGTTCAGTAATTGAACAGTCCAGATATAAAGTTGATGCAATTGAAGATGCTTGCCTTGTCATACCTGGATTTGATACTCTTAATATTTATCGTTTCGACGACAGTGAATCTTCCTTTTTGAAAAATTTCAATGCAGGTGCTCGCCTGAAGAACCACAATGTGCTCATATTTACATTTGTTGGTGCCAGTCTTCTTGATATTAATGCTATTGTCGCAAGGTTGGTTCTTTCTCATCCTGAAAATCTGTTGTAATGTTTATGTGTATTGTTTGGTTTGTCATTCAATTCGTCTAAATGCTGATACTTCGATGGGTGCAAATAACAGAAAATAGATTAGCAGACGTGAGAAATAAGTGATTGGTATTTTTTGAACATTATTCTGGATGTAATGATAGATTTACTTACAGAACCGGATCTCATCGTAAAAATTTTCGACGCGGCTTCGATTTATCACTGCCTTTATGGAATCCCTATATTTTATCGTCGTCTTTCTTAGCTTCTGTAGAGAAATTTTCGTATTTTATCGTTGTACCGATAAAATTTGCTTCACACAATGTTAAAGTACTTTTTAAAAACTTGTTTAACAGAAATGATTGTCTTGTCTTAGACAACTGCGATGTAATAGATGGAAATTTTTTGTGCGATAGTCATGGAAATGCCCATGATTTAGATGCAGTTATTAAGGTTTGGATTTTTTATTAGCAAAAAAGTCTTTTATGCAAAATTAATAATAAGATAAGCATTATTCTTGTAAATTAATTTTCTACATGCGAGCATAAGATATTTTATTTGGATAAAGATGATTAAGAGATCAATGGAAGTGATACCATGATCACTGAATAAAGAAAAGAATATTCTCAGGACCTCCACGTTCAGGGATTATAGGCTAATTGAAGCGTATTTATTTTAAAATTGTTTTTGAAAAAGTTTCAGGAAAGTCAGTTCACTCTGATCGATGATCGGGTTGCTGGATCTGAACTGCTGTTAATGTCAGCTTTACGTGTTGGCTCTATTCCTGTTATTATTTCAGATTCTATTGTTCTGCCCTTCAATGAAGTGATCAATTGGGATCTGTTAGTTGTTAAATGTGTTTGAGACTCATGAGAACTCAAAATAGGTAATATATGCAGAGAACTCCTATCAAAATTGACGAGGGAGTGTTAAATCATCCAGCGCATTTCATTTTGTAGTTATTGATTATACTGCACTTTGGTATTACATAAAAAATATTTAGATTTAAAAATTTAAGTATTTTAGTTTAAGAAATTATGTTTTATCCACTTCTGTTTTTTCAGATTGTCGTTAACGTTTTTCCGAAGTCGTCTATCTTCTGTCCTTACATTCTTACGAAATTTATCTCCTGAACGAAAACAGCGCATGAGAGAGCAAATTTTTTTCGTATACAATCGTTATTTTTCTTCACTTGAGAAAATTATCCTTACGACTTTAAACATTTTGGAGAGACGTATTATTCCTAATTCATTTACAACATACGATGAATGGAATTGTAAATCATCAAAGGTAGAATGAATTTTAGAATTTTCTAAGAGTGTTTCTTTTAACCATATATTTTGTACTCCGCTAAAAATTCAAAATTTGAATCAAAATTTGACAAAATTAAAATTCTAACAACATAAGCATGATACGCTGACTTAGTTTATATCTGGATTGCAGCATTGTCTTGTTCCATCGTTCTTCCTTCCTTTTCACGCTTCTGCAGAAGGTTTTACGGGTGTTATCTTGACATACAACAAACTGGATTCATTATTTGTCATTATACGATTGCTTGCTAGAGTAGCAAGTTTACGAAGCATTGTCGTTATCTGGAATCATCCTCATGAACCTCCTTCAAGTAAGCATTTTTTTACCGACTAGCTTTCTGGTTACTTGTCAATTCCTGCATATTTATTTATAAGGATTGTTCTCGAAATAATAATAATATGTGATACACCAGAAAAGAAAAGAAAATTGAATATGTTTCACTAATTTAATATATTTTCAACATTAGTGCTCTTTTACGACAGATTTCTTTGCTCTCTATATCATAAAAATATAAAAAACGGTTTTTTATTTTACAGTGACCGAATGGCCACACATAAATCGGCCTATTCATGTGATTCATATGGACCAAAATATGCTTTCCAACAGATTTATTATGTTCTCGGAAATAACAACAGATGCAGTATTCACACTTGATGAGGACATGATCGCTGTGAATGTTGATGAAATCGAATTTGGCTATCAGGTGTCATATCAATTCAAGAAATTTTTAGGGATCAAAAATTTTTAGCAATAATAGAAAATAAGTCTATACCCTACTGCTTAATATAGTATTATAAGTAGCAATTTTGTCTTAATTTGATCAATTTCAGTTTTACTGTGTCTTTACACTCATCGTACAACAGTTTAGTGTAACATGGAGGTACTGTAATTTCATATTCATTATTTCAGATTTGGCGAGAAAATCCGGATCGTTTAGTGGGGTTTTTGCCGCGAGCTGCTGTTTTCAATGAATCTACCAAGTCATACGAGTACCATGTGGAGCGGGCAAATTCAATGAATATTATTTTGATGGGAGCTGCGTTTTATCATAAGGTTAAATCAAACCTGTTTATCTCCAGTCATATCTTTTCTTCGAATAAAAAGAAACGTTTTTGTTATGACATACCATTAATTTTCATTTAATTCCATTCAAAGTATAAAACTTGATTTTGTTTTAAAAATTTAGTCAGGTACCGTAATTCTTTTTTGCAGTACTACGGAATGTTATATCACGAATTATTGCCACCGGAAATAATAAATTATGTGGAAAGGAACAAAAACTGTGAAGATATTGCAATGAATTTTCTAATTAGTGGTGTGACTGGAAAAAGTCCATTAAAGGTTACACTGCGAAAAAAGTTCGTTTGTCCAAGTAAGTATTAGACAACAGGAGTTTATATATGCTTCAGTGTATGTTTAAATGCATTAAGTGGCATGAGTGAAATTCGCATCAATGAATTGAATATATTTGTTTGACTGTTTTAGTTTTAATATTGATAGTCTTTCGAATTTGGAGTTTTTATTTAAATTTCAGAGAATTTTTATACAGTTCGATGTTTTTGCTTTTCAGAATGTATTGACAATGATAGATCAACGTGGAATGCCGCGCATTTACTCCAACGTTCTACTTGTATTAACTTATTTATTTCATATTTTGGTTATAATCCATTAGTTACAAGTATTTCAAGATATGATCCTGTTTTGCATAAGGTACCTGTCGAAGGTATTATTAATCCATATAGTCAGATTGGATCGTTTTGAAAAAGTACTTTATATTGTTTTAAAGTTCGTACTATCATTGCCCATAAAATATTTACGGTTTAGAACTTTCATTCTATGTTTAGTTTTACAATTGCTAATTCGATTATATTATAGACTGAAGTATAAAAAAATCATTTTTATCGAAAAAGAGTAATGCATTAATATTGCATATCATCATCATCATAATGTGGTTTATACTGAAGACTTCAGAAATAGCTTCAGAGATAGGGGAAAGGTTTTTCATGTGCAAAGGCATCGATTAAATTCAGTCACAGTAATATTTCATTCCTTTTCAACCGTTGTGCAATTATGCTGCGAGATCATGATATTTTTCTAGATATTATTGAAATTTTTTCAAATTTGTTACTTTAAAAACTTTTTTATATGTTATTACTGATCCATATTTCCTATATTACAATTGTAACGCTGTGATTTTATACATTACATCATCATTATCCATCATTCTGTGCCTCTGCATTATGTTACTTTATGTTATTCAGATTTATTTATTGATTTTTAAAATTAATTAGATAAAATGGCTAGGGAAACAGAGATTTTACCTAATGGGTTAGATATAGAGAGTTTACCTAATTGATTAGATTCGTGGGAAGTAATCGAACTTTTATAATTTAGTGCACTATTAACTATTGCAACCGCGGGGCAGGTTTTATCTTATTTCCTCGTCTTATCACTATTTTATTTTTTTAATCTCTGATTTTCATATATATGGTCAAATGATCATTTTGCTCTTGGTAATGCTAATATTATTTTTGGCGATCTCATCTGTTCTAATTTATGGAATGCATTAATTTAATTGAAATAAAGATTTTATTGTAATTACTCTCTCTTTTATTTGGCTATAATTTTTGCTGTAGCTTTGACCTACTTTCATGAACAATGCTTGTGCTACGATAGAATCTTTTCTCGCGGGAAAACATTTATAGGGTTATAAAAGGAAACAAGAAGAAATACATGTATATGTACGAATTTGTCATTGCAATATCATTAATCAAGTATTAAAATTCTGAATGCCGCCTAATCATTGATTTAGCACTAGTTTTAGCGGTCTAATCTTTTTTTGCTGCAACTACGAACTCTTTGTTATGCAGTCTTGCGGATTCATGTTCCAGCTTAATGGAAGCAAAATATTCGTGCATATTGTAAGCAGTAACAGGTAAGCCTTGAGCTCGTAACTTGGCAGCAAATATCAAATCACCATCATCGTATCCTGCCCATCTGTAAAACTAATGGTATCATATCAGTATTAGTAATGTCTATTGTTCAGTAGACTTAAAAAAGAATATATTTTTGCATGTCAAATAAACTATTCTTGTTTACATTTAGAATACAACAAAAAAGCAAGTACATATTACATATATGGGTTAAATAATCTATGCTGTTTGTTTTATATGATAATTAATTATCTGAGCAATAATGAAATGATTCAGTTTCTTAAATATATCTCCTGATATTTTAATGCTTTAATTAAAATAAATGAATAATATAGCAAAAAGAAAAATTTCAGAAAAATAGCGCAATTATTAGATAATTCATTTTAGTGCTGATAGTTTTTCATCAACAATGTTTTTATAAATTTTCAATAATTTCCATTAATCAAATAAGAACAAAAAAAGTAAGAGTTAACCTAGTGCTGAAAAACTTATACGTCCTTCTATGAACATACCATCCAATAAAATAGGTAAGTGCCGTCAAAGACCATAATGTTACAAGGACAGTGTCTGTAATTTGGTAAAATTATAAACTAAACTTTGAAATATTTTATCAATGAGAGCAGGATGAGAAAAAATAAGCTATGGAAATGATAAATTTATTGTTGAGATAATTACTTACTAATTAAATAAGTTTAGCTCTCTTTGGTAACTTGTATCATATTTTATCAATCGATAAACTTGACTGGTTTGAATTATGCAACAGATGGAAAAAACATTCGCTTATTTTAATTTTGCTAGACTTACTGTAAAAGATCTGAATTTGACATGTAAAAAAAAATGCCGAACACGACTAAATTCAGATTAAAAAATATATTGATTAAAATGATTTGAGGATCTATATCAGAAATGTCTAAAGAGGTTTTGCATGCATCAATGGATAATTTGCACAGAATGATTGATAATCAATGGAATATTATGATAACTCACCTAAGATAGTTTTCCGCTCATTGAAACTGATAATTGTCCATATTAAGGCAAAAAAGAACATAACAATAACTCGGTAATAATATAGTGCTATAAGAAGCGTGTGCTGAAAGTTCTTTTTTTTTTTGGTAAATTTAACATTATTATAATATATCGTCAGTTATCACATCTTATCATAGTTGAAAATTTTGCAAAAGCTGAAAAATTGAAGAATCAAGTGAGTTCAAATAATTGAAAGAAAGAAAAAAATTCCGCTGAAAATTTAGTTCCAAAGTTTGAGATCAATCTTTGATCTTATAAATTTATTTTTTTTTCAATTGTGAATGACGTTATATTGATAGTAAGAAATGCTTTTACATCTTTCAATTTCCTACTTGGAAAAAAGAAAATAGGATAATCTTACACCAATGTATAGTCCAACAGGTCCTGAAAGATATGATAAGAAAGAAATATAAAGAGCAAACAATGGTACTTTTACTGATGCTGGTAATGGTTCCTAAAAACATTTCACTAAATTTTACTATCAAAATTGCATTTATTTGGAAAATTTATTGTATATGAAAAAAATAAGATTTATGCAAGTCAAATAATTTGCATGTCATAAGCGTTCACATTTCATATTTCAAAATTTTGAGATTTCAAACGTTATGCTCGAAACATTATTTGGAATTATAAAAAAAAAAAAAACTTTCTTTAAAATGTAAAAACTGAACAATATGAGAAGACAGGGAAATTGGTGGTAGAATTCGTAAGCAAAAAAAGAAAAATAACAAAAAAAAGTAACAAATTTCAGGATTAAAAAGGAAATCGAATTTTTAATACTTTTTTATTCAGTTTTTTTAAAAAAAGTGGAGAAGAAATTTTAGGGGATTTAAAAGATACTGCGTTTATTAAATGTAATGGCATTTATTTTTTCTCAAAAAAATCTTCGATAATTTTTCGTTACGGAGAGAAATGTTTTTAACATAAACAAATTTTTGCATCTTTAGAATTCAAAGTTTTAAAAGAATTTGGATATTAAAGGCATTATTCGAGAAAAAAAAGACAAATTATTGAGAGTGAAGCAATAAAAATTTTAAGTATTGTTAAAATCAGAAATCCAATAATATCTATAAATGATTGAATTGCATCTTATATTTCCTATTCTTTTTCGTCATGGACCAATTCCATGCTTTTCAGCTTACTTTAATTGATTTCTTAAACTACATTTAATTATTCAATAATTATTTCTGACAAAAAATTTCCAACCATTCTTTTAGATTGAAGATATAAATCACAACTAAAATAAAAAATGATGAATTCTTCAAAGAAATACGGTTGTGAGAATATTTGCATTTCATCTTTTCGAATAATTTTATCGATTAAGTTCTTTTTTGTTTTCAAAATTTCCAAAAAAAATTATACGTCATAATAATGAAAGAAAGCAATGAGGAAGAACATTGAACACGTTGACCAGAAATCGATCACACAAAAAAATACGCTTGCCACGTATGAATGTAAACCTCCGCAGCAAACATCATATTCATCGCTGAATGTTTTCTTTTATAATTTAAATTGAATAAAAAAATTTACATTTAATTATGAATTTAAACATTTTAGTATTAGGAATAATTCATTTGGTATGATATATACTTGGTACTTAATGTATTCGGTATTTCTTTGAAAATTAATAACCTCAGTGGTGCATTATCTCATATAATCCACTCATTGATAAAGATTATCGATTGCCAAATATCATCTGATCTTTCAGTCTACGACCGAATATTTTATTACATAATAGTTTGAAATATTCAAGCTAATTTGAAGAGAAAAATTTAGGGTTAGAAGTCGAATAGTTGCCACTGTAATCAAAGCTACTATCCTTACTCACCTGTCATCCTCGCTTAATTCTGGAAGACACATTAGTAAACACCAACTGTTCAAATGAACTTAAAAGCAACGAAATGACATCAAATCTAATGATTGCATAATTTTATGTATTACTAGCCATTGCATACCACAAATGCTTATTGTTTTTCATAATTATTTAACCAAAAGATTGGAAAAAATTGTAACTTAATTTTTAAAAAAAATTCATAACGTTCAGTCTTTGACCAAGAGATACGGAATTTTGTAAGTGAAGTACTTGAATAATTTGCCTGATTTAACAGCAAATGATGCAGTATTACTGAAACTCGACCTGTATGAAGCCTTTCCTGGTTTCTTTACATTGAAAGAATTCATCCCTATGGACCACATAAAATGAGGTGTACACAAGGTTACATTACTCGATTTTCTTTTTTGCAAATGAGATGCAATCAACTCAAGATAGTCTCGTTAGAAAAATATCCCAAAACAGTAGCAATAACTTTTCTGATTTTTTTAAAACTTTTTTCAACTTTAGCAACAGGAATTGAATGTTAATCTCTGCAATGCGCAAAATATATGTAATTTAATTGTAATAAAGCATTGAACTATAATGTCAAAAAATACTAAAGGAGTGATGAGTAATACATCTATAAACAGAATCATGACATTAGGATAAAACGCAAAAACAAAAAGCCAAACAATTAATTACAAATAAAGACAGCAAAGCTCAAGAATATTATCAACTGTCCACTATATAAATCCCATTTTCAGGATTTCGGTAATGTTACAACTGTTCGATTTTTCACTTTTTTTTCCTGATTTAACAAATCTGGGAAGCTAAAACTGCAATTTTTTCGTGCCCTAATAAAAAAATATGTAAAAAATGAGCCTAATTGAAAGATTGAAAAACAATACCCATAAAAGATGAAAAAAAAACATTAGTGAAGTCAATTACCATCAGAAAGTATGTAACAGTTCATTTAATAATGAACAATGTCTAAAGAAAATTATTACTGGGCAAATGTACAAAGCATTAGTTATAACTCGTACTATAATTAGTAAATCAGGAAAGAATTAAAAAAGAATAAAAGGAAAAACGAAATCATTAGAAGGGTAACGAATCATGAAAAAAAAAACATACCTGAAAAAATAGAAGAGTTTGAAATTTGTTCCAAATCAAGATATTCTTCTAAGTTTTTTCTAGCCATAAAAAAAGCAAACAGTAATGTCAAAACTTATTAAGCCAAACAAAATAATTCACACTGCTATAGCCTCGGTATATTTTGTTGTCAGCTAAATTATAAAGATGACCTTTCTTTAGAAAGTCTTACTCATTGCTATAAATCTAAAAATTCACTAAGCACTTTTTTTAACCATGCAGGTAAAAAATATTCCTATTCGATAGTGTATACAGAGAATAAAGTCATAGCATTATCGATTATCAGATGACAATTTTTTTTAATAATAAATGCATATAAGCTGTTGAATTGAAAAAATTGTGCAAAATTTTTAAATTATGTATTTCTCTTTGGTTACCACAAAAAAGCTGACAGAATTCAGGCAATTTAAAAATAAAACAAATATTGCAACTGCTAATAAATTGATAAATTCATATCATTGTATCCCATCAGAATTTGAAACGCATGCTACCAGCGAATTTAGAACAGCAGTAATTTCGGGATCGAATGTTTTACAATCTTTATGCATATCGTTGAAAATACCATTTGAGATTTCCGATGTCTGAAAACTTGTTGTCTGCAATGTAAATCTTTCAAATGAATTATATATATATGCAACAGCTTTTCATACTACTTTAACCTATCCCACCTTAAAGCAAAAAGAATTTCTGATATCTTCATATACTGCACCACTCTGAAATCTTGAAGTACTGACATAATTTTTGCAAATTGTTTCTTAAAATTATCGACAACGATGCACTCTTAAGTGTTGGGATTTAGCGTTCTACAAAACCAAACCTGAGGTTTCAAATCAGAATCCTGATTCATGATCAAATTTTCGCATTCAATTTGTTTCATTCCATTATTTAGCGGTCTCGAATCTATTGCTTTTCCGTCTAAAATTTCAGTTTTTTTTCAATTCAAGAAATGATGTGGATTTCTCAATTCCTTGAAGAGAAATATCACAAGGTGTAATATCCGTCTATGTAAATTTAATTATTTAACATTATAATTCGGAAAGTTCTGACAAAAATTAGTGGAACATAAACACAAGCCTCTAAAGACACGACCTGTTACGTCTTATAAGAATTGTCATTAATTTTACAGATTGTTTTGCAACTAACTTCCAAGTGACCAGTGAATATTGACTTTATACCTTGATTTAAAGTTTCACCAGAAGTCTGCTTAAGATCAAAAGTAACGAGATGTGGTGCTGATCCTTTTTCATCAATCTTCTCCCGCTTTGCTTTCATGAATTTTTGCATCAAAGTTGTGCCATCGGAGAAAAAAATGTCACCTATTATGTAGCTATTATCCTATAAATAATGAAAATCAATAATAAGAATTCTGAAAAATCATGAAGGCAACAATAATTTGTACTGAGATTTGGTAAGAAAGAAACACGACAAAGAACGCTGTGGTGTCTCAACATCTATCATAAGTATCATGCCACAGAAATGTACCTCATTGTATTCAACAAGAATGACTTTAACCGGGTCGCTTGCTGCACTATTCATTATTATTTCTCTCAATGTTTCATCAAGCAGAGATTCGATGAACCTCAACTCTACTGATAAGCGATGGCACGTTCGTACAAAAAATCCGTCAAAATCACCTGCAATAGGGCCCAACACCTCATTCTTTCAATATTATCAATCAGCTTTCTATTTAATGTGGTTAGAAATAGATTGTTAGAAATTAACCAGTTTTGCAAAACTTTCCATAATAATCCTGTATCATTCGACTAAAATGAAATATCTGAGTTTCGTAGAAATAATAGAGCATAAAATTTTTCAATTAGCAACAGCTAAATACATATAAAAATTTTGAAAAAGAACTCACATAATTCATTAATGCCAGAAAACTGGGACGGTATTTCTTCAACAGAAATGCCCTCATCAACCAGTAAACATTTTTTCGACGTCGCAT